GAGAGAGAGAGAGAGAGAGAGAGAGAGAGAGAGAGAGAGAGAGAGAGAGAGAGAGAGAGAGAGAGACCGCTACGGTAGGCAGGCCGTAGGTGAGGGCGACGGGATGAACAGCGGGATGTCGGATGTGGGGGCAGAGAAAGATGTGCGGGTAGTGAAGAAAGCGGAGACAGCGGGAGGAGATGGCGGGAGGAGACGGAGGCGGAGGTGAGTGGAGGCGAGCGGAGGTGCGCGAAGCTGTGAGCAGAGGTGGGCGGAGGCAGGCGGAGGTGAGCGGAGGTGAGCGGAGGTGAGCGGAGGTAAGAGGAGGTGGGCGGAGGTGGGAGAAGGTGGGCGGAGGTGGGCGGAGGTGGGCGGAGGGCAATCGGAGATGGGCGGAGGGCATTCGGAGATGGGCGGAGGAGGTGAGCGGAGGTGGGTGGGAAACAAAGCGGAGTCGGCGGGAGGAGACGACGTGTGGAGGTGGGCGGAGGTGGGAGGAGGTGGGCGGAGGTGGTCGGAGGCTGCGAAGTTGGACAGCCACTGGCTGTTCGACGCGAACAGGGCCATGGCGCCGCCCCGTGACGGCCCTCTTCTCAACGGGCGTGCCGATCTGGGCCGACGGGCCGGATTTCCACGCGATCTTAAGACTTTAAGATCGCGCATCGATCCAGGCCGTCCGACCAAGCGGACGGTCTGGATCGCCGCGCGATCTTAGTCTTAAAGTCTTAAAGTCTGAAGATCGCGCGGAAATCCAGGCCGTCGGCCGGTAGGCCGTGGGTGGCCCGGATCGGCCAAATGTTGTGCGCCAAATAGCGATTTCTATAAGTGCAGGGATGTTCCAATTTGGATTCTGCCTATTGCTCATTTTCCTTGCATGATCTTTTCCGTATTGTAACTATCTTTCAATTTTATTGGATGCCCCGAGGACGAGAAAGTTCTCTCTCAAATTCCACGAAGAGGGTCACTAATTCATGGTGTGAAACATAGATGGACTGCCACAAATGCTTGTTCTTTATGACACATGGCTATGGCAGAGTCCAAACCATTTCCATCGGAATGGCAATATGAGTGATGAAATGGATTCTCGCTTCGACGGTGATGGGTAGGTTGTTGTCTGTCCAAACTTCCAAAGAAATGTTGAATGACTCATTGGGTGGACTTCTCTCTTCAGCCATTAGAATGGTGATGATGAATTGTCCGTTGCTGATCAATTGTTTGTTTGAGGACCTCCTGCAAGCAATGAGCCACACAGTTACTGTTGAATGGAGTCCAATCATTTGTCCCGTCTTCCCCCGAATAGAACGTATATCGCTGTATCTATAGATGGATAGTTGTGCCAGCTAGATGCAGACATAATCACCGTGCATTCTATTCGAGAAAAGACAGTAGTGTACTATATTTACACTCCAGCGTCCTGATGAGTCGGTGAAACTCCGATGAAACAGTTTGTCACAGCCCCTCACTTGTTGTCCTCTTCTCCCTCCCTGCCTACGGTTTACCGGGCAGTTCTGTTTGACGATATATACAGTCCTATCCAGCTGCATTCATCTGCCCATGTTAGCCCATGTTTGGTACCATATGTCCATTTTTATTTCTCCTCTTGTCCCCACCACCTGCCTTGCCTGTTTCAATGCCAAGCCTGCACATTTTCATCATCTAGCTCCTGTCCTCCGGTCTCTCTGTTTCTTGTGGCTCATTTAATTTCACTGCAATCTTTAATGTCTGGCTTGTTGGGCTCTGCAGTGTATGCTACCTTTGGGAATCGAGGACAGGATGGAAGCTACGTCACAAGTATACAGGCCATAGCAACTGGATAAGGTGGGGCGGTCACCATCCCTTCAGCCAAGCAGAGAGCAGAGCACGTTCGAATTTGAAAGTATTTTTCGTCTCTGCTTTTCCAAGTCTTATACTCTAAGAAATACGATTTTTTAACTTCTTTTCCTTTTTTTTTTTTTAAGAAAAAAGAAGACGTATTGAAGGCTCAGGAAAACAGAGACGAAGAAATACATATGACTTTAGAATGTTAAGACTCGGAAAAAACAGAGACGAAGAAATACATGTGACTTTAGAATGTTGCTTGTTTTCCTTTCCGGCAATTTTGGTTAACCATGAGTTCATTGTACTGCAATAACCCATGCCACATGTCTCGTGGAAAGACTGAGGGCCAACTCGGTCGCCCTCAGCCCAGGCCGAAACGGGGGCAAAAAGGAGCCCAAACAAAGACTCAGGGTCTGGACGTGTGACAGTTGACTGTCGTGACCTCAACAGTCAAAGTCCGTACCTAGCCCAGGCCACTGGTCAAGCACACACACTTGTTTGTATGCAGGTACCCAGACAGCATCAGGTCCAAGGGAGAAGTCTGCAACTGTACAATCCGGGCCCTCAGCTGTGAGTCAATCTGGACGACTGTGGGAAAAGCACCCGAGGCCAGACAGCCTCGACAACTGTTACTTAAGGTTGGCCTCGAGTGAGTCAAGCATTCAGTCTTGCCATGCTGCTTTGACGCTGGCTCGACTTTGACTAGACACGGGTTTTATGCTGGCGCGACGCTGGCTACGTGCTGGCTGTGCACAGGCGTTGCGGACGACGGCACGGGGTGGAGGCAGCATGCTGGTGCTTCTTCTGTGCGCCAGGCAATGATGATGTGGCGTTGCCTCTCGTCTTCATTGCATGCTGATGTGGCGCTGCCTCTGGTCTACATTGCATGCTGATGTGGCGCTGCCTCTGGTCTACATTGCATGATGATGTGGCGCTGCCTCTGGTCTACGTTGCATGCTGATGTGTCGCATGCCGCTGGTCTTCATTGATGATGTGGCAAATGCCACCTGTCTCAATTGCTGATGTGGCATTATCCACGCTGTCTATATGAGGTGACCAGTTGCGAGGAGAAGGAAGATCGGGATCTGTGGATGAGAGAGATCGGGTACTCACCTGAGGATTGACATCGTCACTGGAATCTGCTATGTCTTCATGGTCTTCACGAGATAAAGTGCCACGTGGCACTATTGTGTGTGATCAGGAATATGCTTATTATCATGTTGACGTGGAGAGGGAAGACGCCTGGAGAAGGAGAGGTGTCTGAAGGGATTATTACTGTGTGATCTTTCATCTTCTCCTTTGTCTATTCCCCCTCCACTCTCTTCTTGTGATGGTAATGAGATACTGTTTGAGATATCACTTCACGATTTGGAGACTTGATACAGATAATGAGACTACTGATGTTTGACGACTTCTGAGTATCTGCCAGACTGGGGTGATGGTTATTCCTCTTGTGATGTTTGTCACACTTCTCTCTCTCCCCCCCCCCCTCCCCTTGATTTATACGTGTCATCTATGTGCAGGGGTCATGCTAATCTTCTCTGTATCATTTCAATTTTACGGTTGTTCTGAAGGGTGATGCTTGTGACGCATTTGACATCAGAAGTCCTTTGTGACAACTTCTGGGTCCTTTTTTGGGGGCGGGGGGAGGTCCTTTTCTTAACGAGGGTTGCATGAAATCGCTAAAAATAGTGCATGTTTTACGTGGATGGTTTGGGTGGAAGCAACGAAATGTTGCTTGTTTTTCTTTCCAGCAATTACCATTAACCATGTGTCATCATGTGTCATCACTACCATTTCAACTTTCCTCCTGTGACGCTTATCACACTTTTCAACGACTACCCGGCACTCAGTATTGATAGTCTTCGGCTGTATCTGCAGGGCATTGAGGATGACAAAGGATTCGGTCATAACTGGCAGTGACGATTGGACTGCACGAGTTTGGGCTGTTTCGAATGGCGAATGTGAGGCTGTCCTGGCCTGTCATAGTGGTGCTGTCACTTGTGTAGAACAATGTCCTCTTAGTGGGGGCGTCATTACAGGTGCGACGGGTGTTACCACACCCATGTTTCCACTCTTGTCTCCCTTGCTCAGTCGTCGTGTTTGTGTTTCTGTGCTCTTGCTCTCCCCTTGTGAGTTGACAGCATGATCGCAAGACGAAGAGAGGCCCAAAATCAGTGATGATTCTTCGATGGCAATAATGCACGCATCAAGTAGAATAAGGAATGCAGTTCAATCATCAATGCACATTATATGAGGCTTTACTCTCATGGAGAGGATACAATGTGCAAGTGTAGGGCTGGACTGCTCCCCAGTTGTCGCCCTTCTGCCTCGTCCACTCAGGCAACATCACTCTTCCTCTCTCTACAGAATAAATCGTCTCCTTGAATTTGAGTATCGTTCATTAGCGCCGGCATTTGCGAATACAGTGTGATCGACCGTCTGTCTTTTACTTTTGGTTCTCTGCATCCTTTCTACATTGCCCAGTCATTGTCCCCGGCTCTCAGTTTCAGCTCCAAATTCTCAAGTAGTGCGCACTGCTGTTGTTATCCGCAGGCATTTCTTTGTGAAATGCATCTTTTTAGCACACGAAGCATACTGTCTTCACCCGAGTACAACGTATGGTCACTATTGCTGTATCTAGCCTCAC